GTTACAACATCTCGATCAAACTGAGTCCTCAAGGCCCATCTGACCACTTCTAGATTTCCAATATCATTTCAAGTTAAACTCATCTGCTGTACCTGGCACTCATAGTGCGTTACAACATCTCGATCAAACTGAGTCCTCAAGGCCCATCTGACCACTTCTAGATTTCCAATATCATTTCCTACAGAGTATCCAGCTCCTGATGCATCACCATCCTGAAAGATTACACTCATTGTCACCAAATTTCTAAAAAAGGAACCTTGAACCAACATCAAAGCAAAGGCAGGATGGAATGCTTTTTCAAAAAACAGCCATAGTGATACTTACTTTCCTTCCTCTAGCTTTGGCCACCAAATTTCTAAAGTTTAGTCTTGGCTTATTGTCAGTGGCCCACCCTGCTCTGCAACAGTGTCCCCCTAAAATTATCAAATGTGTATTAACAAAAAAAAAAAAAAAAAACACTAAAGGCACTTGTGTACGCATACAATATCTTCTTACAACTGTCTATCCAAAACCTTCTTTGAGCCCCAACAAAAACTCTGCATTTGTACATACTTGCAAAAAGCCATTCCTGTTGGCAACTTAGGACACTTTCACAGGTGAAGATTTACAAGTACGTGTAGTCCTATGTTCTAAAGCTTTTACTGAGACTGGATACCCATAAAGAAATTCTTTAAAGACACGAAATCACAGTTAAGCATATGCACGGCGTTACAGCCTTTAGATTAAATTTGTTAGGTCAACGCTAAATCAATATGTGATATTGCTTGAGCAATCAACTTGAACTTTCTATAAGATTTGGCCATCCTTCCATCTGACAGTGCTTGTTGAGTTGTTTGGTCATCAAACTATATTTTAGTGTATTTTTTAAGCACTGACTTTCAAGATTTCCCAAAAAATTTTGAGTATAAAGGTAAAGACAGACTGGTACAGACTCCCTATCTGGTTTTTGTGGTCGTGTCGCATTATCAAATTTTCAACAGCCAAGTGAGTGTGCTATCATAGGGTCTCACATTCATCCCAACAACTGTGACAAACAAATGTAAAATCAGGCCAACTCTTGCAAGATCTGTTGCAAAATGAATGCATCTCCAATACACCTTTCACGGACAAAACAAAGAACCACATCCATTTCATATCAAACTGGATGCAACCGGTTCAGCCTTCTATTGCCTTTGAGAGCTACTTGGAAAAAGTCACAACAGACCTTGCAAAGATTACTGTATCCAAGCCACAATACAATTTGAAATGCAATAAGGTCATGGCGCTCAAAGAGTTGAAAAACAACTCTGCTTCAAATGCACAAAAAAGAAACACATCAACAGTCATCATGAATAAGACAGAAAAAAAAAAGAAGAGGCCAAAGTGCTACTCGACAACAGAGTTTACGTCAAACCTCTCAAAGCACAAATAGTAAAAGACATGCAGGAAAGGGTGATGATATCATTGACCAAATGCGTCAGGGCAAACACATCGATGACATGACTAAGAAATGGCTTTCACAAACTCCCAATCCACCTAGATACACAATCAACCCTTGCTGAAAAGAATTTTTATACAACATTCCATCATCTCTCACAAAAGGGGGAAAATTTCTAACAATACATCAGTGAGAGCAAAAATACAATTAGAAGGTGATAATGCAATACGACTACAAAGGCCACATGGGGAGTTCTTGGCAGTCTGTCTTTAACTTTATTCTCTGCTTGGCTAATAAATGATGAAGCTGTGTCATCACTCACTCATTTGCATAACCATGAAATCAATAGATCACACTTCCTATTGGTTTGCTGATTTAATAACTCATGCAGGATGTTTGAAGAAAAGTTTGTAAATAACTAGCCAGAGGCATGTGATTTACAAATTTTTCAAGCATTCTTCTGATATTAAAATATTATAGAAAGTGCAGTAGATTGCTATTAAAAAGATTAACTTAAATTTTCTATGGGTTAACTTGTAATGAACAATAGATTATTGTACTAATCAAGGCACTTGCAGTGTCTCAGTCATTTTAAAAAAGTCTGTGGACTACCTAATTAAGTTGGAGGGTGTGTTAACAAATAGAAAATACTGGTTTCAGTCTGCTATGGATAGAATGAAGAGGGTATTCCTACATCTAGTTTTAAGGATATAACCTTTCATCCCTGGAAGGCTTCAATAGTGCACTTGATTCTTGTCATAGTTCCTAAATGTACACTGTCACAGGGCTCAATGCTAGCAGTAGCCAACTAGCCACAGACTAGTAGAAATTCAGTTTTGGCTCATGGTTTTTGGTTTCCACTCGCCAGTTTGGCTAGTAAACAGACTGAAATTGTTGTAACATCTAAGTTATCACCAGCCACCTGGCTAGCAAGTTGAAAAGTTAGTGTTGAGCCCTGTGTTGCAATGATAACTTTCTATTCTACTTAAGCATAAGCATTAGCTTCATCTCTGGCTCACCAGTAAGAACTCACCATTATCAATAACAAGTGGAACTGAATTGTCTCTTATATTTGCTGGATAGTCATAGAATGAATCTGGAGACGTTTCACAGTCTTGAAACCTGAAGATTCGAGCATCCACATCTAAACAAGAGATGAATAAAGACAGTTTCCAAAAAGCACGAACATGCATGGGGACATTGAGTCGTGTTCTTAGGCAAGACACTTTACTCTCACAGTGCATCTCTTCACCCAGTTGTTTAAATGGGTACCGACGAATTTAATGTTGGGGGGTAACCCTACAGTGAACAAGCATACTATCAAGAGGGGAGTAGAAAATTAATACTCCTGCTGGTCGCTTCATGCTACGGAAACCGGAGTTAAGCGCCGGCCTGATGGGCCACCTTGCTCATAAACAGACTTTACCTTACGACCATGAGTATGGAAAACCTAACCTTAAAATGTAAAGCCTTGACTCCATGTGTGACAAAATGACAAAACTAAGCTGTTATTGTTCACAGAACTAAACTTACCACTCTCTTCCGCCATATTCGTTTAAACGCCCTTGTATAACGGTACAGCGGAACGCATTTCATGAAAGTTAGATGGTGTATGACGCACAATCTGTGTCACTCAGGTGGGCACTAGAGCTCTGCTTGTGCTCGTCGGGAAATAACCGCGATCTAGGATTCGGGTTTCGGGGGATGGGATATGGGTTTCAGGGTATGAGAATATAACTTTTGGCCTCTAAAATTTTGTAACTTATCGTGCGTATAGATTACAGCAAACCGTTGTGAACGCAAAACAAGTCCTATTCAAAGTCAATGAACCTCCGGTAGTGAAAATTTAATTTATTCCATTTTCACTGCATTAATTTGCAATAGGACTAGAAAGGAACATACGAACCATTCGAGCTAGTCCACCTTCCCACCTTCCCACCCATCCCACCCCAGGGGAGGACAT